TCCCAGTGTCCGATCAATTATTGCGCTGAAAACCTGAGACTAGCTGGTTCACACCGGACGCGTCCGGTCGCTCTCTGCAATCCTTCCTCGGGCTATACCACTTTGACCTGACGCTGAACAGTAACTCGTCAGCGTCCGGTCACTCCACTGAGCTAGAGTCCGGTCACCTCGGCAACTCTGCCCGCACCTGGCCAGAATACCGGACGCGTCCGGTATCGATATCGGACGCGTCCGGTACACATGTCAGACGCGTCCGGTCACCCCATGACCAGCGTATTCAACTCCTTTTCTTCATAAACTTCTTTTCCTTTGCAAATGTGCCAACACCACCAAGTGTACACCACCATGTGTATGTGTGTTAGCTTTTCACAAACATTTTCCAAAGGATTAGCCACTCAACTTGCCACGCCACTCGATCCTAGCGATGATGCAAAGTTAGATCACTCGAGTGGCACTAGATGACCGATATGCAAACAAGTTTGCCTCTCTTGATAGTACGGCCATCTATCCTAAACCCGGTCATCAACTTCTCTACACACCTATGACCGGTGAAATAAAATGCCCTAGGTTATATCTTTGCTTTGTGCATTCCATTCCATCTCCTCCAATGTCGATGCAACACATGCACCAACACGATCAACAATGATATGATCCACTTTATATCATCACGTGATCATATTGGTTCATCGATCTTGACTTCACTTGCTTTTCACCGTTGCCTTCGTCCATCGGCGCCAAGTCTTGCTTAAGCTTCATCGCCACGCGGTCCATCGCTCCAAAGCCTCCGACTTACCCTTCACGCTTGCAACCGGTCCATCAAGCCAAGTCATGTCTTGATCTTCTCCACCTTGATCACATGACTCAATGTCACGTCTCATGTGCAATAAGCTCCTTCATCCTCACATGTGTGAGCTTTGCAATATCTCCTAGCCATTTCCACCTCCATGGCATATGTTGCTCACACACATGTACCTGTGGACTAATCACCTGTGTATCTCACATAAACACAATTAGTCCATCTAGGGTTGTCACTCAATTACCAAAACCAAACAAGGACCTTTCAAACATCCATGGAGTTACCAATCGGGAGCTTGGCTCTTGCGAGGGGCTCCAATAAGAACTAGTGGAAAGTGTGAGCTTTTTGATTCAACGGGAGTTACCCAGCCAAGAGCTTGACTCTTGCGATGACCTCCAACAGGGACTAGTAGAAAGCATGAAATTTCTGATTCCTCGAGGGAAACATTGTTGGGCGGGAGTTTGCTTCTCTAGCTTATTTACATTTCCACATTTACTTATTGCATTCCTCGGTGTGTACTTTAGCTTCTTAGTCTAGATTGCTAGCTTAGTTGATAGGATTAGAATCTAGGGTGCAAAACTCTTTGGTGTTAGAACTTTGGTTTTTTGTCTTAGCCTTTAAGTGACCTAATTCATCCTCTCTTAGACATCACGGACAGTCTCTTCAACTAAAAATCAATTTTTAGTAGGGTGATAGACCTTGAGTAGAGGCAGTTTCTACAACCGCCTTTACAATCAATCTGTAGTTGTGGTGATAGACCTCAATATGATGTGGATAAATTGAACCTATTTGGTTGAACTTGACTAATCAAGCAAATTATGAGGGCACCTATTTCACATGTCGGTGATGACACGACAGACATATATGATTTATGTTGAAACTCACATGCTGGAATTTTCATTAGAGTTTACCATGTTTTCTCAGCGTTGATGTATACTAGAAGTACAGAGATAATTATTAGACAATGTTAAAACCGCATGATAAGTATACAAAGGAAGAATTGTCTTCAATTTCAAGTCAAACAAATACCTCTGGAAAATTCAAGCAGGGAAAAAATGTCAACCAACTGTGGTGATGTACATAATGGAATGTCCTATAACTCAACACCATGACACGGTCATATTTCTACACATACTTTCTACGTCGCAAAATAATTAAGTCAATTCTTAGAACCATCCTACGTCAAATTGTTATAAGTTTAACCAAATAAATACATATAAAATATAGTTCATGATTTATCTAGTGATACTAATTTGATCTATTGTTGCTCTTTTCTATAGATTTGATCAAACTTAAAATAGTTTGACTTAGGATAATTCTGTAAGTTCATTTAATTTGGGATGAAGGAAGTATTATTTTTCTATACCCATGGATTTTAGATTAGGGTACTCTACCACATGCACGAATTACAATTCCACTTGTAATAAATAAGAAATTATGGTTTCACTAAAGGAAACCGAAATACCCTGTCGGTACAAAATTTAATGGACAGTCCATATTGGCAGATGTAGAGAATAATTTCCTTGAAGATGAAAATGTATTTTTTTTTTCCTATCGTCATCGTTCGACAGGGATAAAATAACAGACCTATCAGCTAGGAGTTTCCCTGTTGACAAAATGTGTTCACCGACAGGCAAAATTTTAATCCCTGTCACTTATATTCTGTCGGTGCATCCCTATCGGTAACCCGAAAGAAATATTGCAAAAACAATTTTCCTATCGGTATTTCGCAGTATTTCACCAATAGAGAAATTTCCGTTCCTAGTAGTGATTTCCACAAGAGAGTTGGCTTTATATGGCTTATTTGTCTCGGATCTGTGCTAGCCTTCCAGGTCCTCGCTAGCCATTTTCAGCCAAGGTTTCATGAACAGGGACGTACGTGCATTCATGTACGGTTATGTGCTTTGACACCAAAACCGTTTGAAAATTTTGGGTAGGGAACGTGAATCGGGAAGCTTCAAGGACGTTGATCGCTGGCGGTTAGTCAGGCCAACAGGAGGCGACTGGAATAAAAATTATGATTTGAATCCACTAGCAACTAGTAAGCTGGCTAATACTATTTTTTTCAAAGTCAAGGTTTCTTATACCTAGCTAAATTTATAAAAAGTATAAATATTAATGACACTAAATAGATCTACTATAGAAAAATAAATTACACGGTAAATATATAATATTCATTTGATATTACATATTTGATATTTTTTATATAAATATAGTCAAATCTAAGATTGTTTAGCTTGGACAAAACTAAAATAATACTCTCTCCGTCTCAAATTATAAGTCATTCCAATATTCTCGGAGAATCAAAGCATCTTAAGTTTGACCAAAATTATAAAGAGAATTACAAGGATGTATAATATCAAATAGGTATACTATGAAAATGTAATTAATGAAAATCTAATGATACTTATTTGATATCATAAATATTATTATTTTATTATATAAATTTGATAAGATGTTTTGACTCTTCAAGAAAGCTGAATGACTTATAATTTGGGATAGAGGAAGTACTCTTTTATAGGATGGATGTAGTAGTTCATGGCTAATAGCTGGCTACCTATCTAGGAGCTAAAAATTGGATGGTTATCCATGATTTCTTTCATCTTCTAGAGCTACTTTTGGTAGAGTATCAAATAAAGGTACGTGGGAGGGCAAAAGTGTTTTTATTTATTAGCTAGTATTAGTTGGGTTGGGCAGCTAGCGAGATAGTTGTTAGCTAGATTCCTAGCTAACAATTAGCAATCCTATTATTAACTAGGTCTATTTTGATCCACCTAACTATTTTTAGTAGATAACTTAGTTAGATGGATCCAAACAAATACCCTTTAGATTGAGAAACCTACTAGAGAATGGATTAGTAAATCATAATTTGATATTATTTTGAGGAAACAAATAATTTGATATTGGATCCGCAACATCTTATACTCTCACAAATGATCTATGATATGAGCCCTCAAAAATAATCTATGATATGGTTCTTGATACTTTGATAGAAAATAAATTTCGATGTGAATGGCACAAGGATAGGAGGTCAAACCTTTGCACCCCCAAGAAGGGGTAAGTAAGGTTGATTTTAACCATTACAACCCGTTTAAGTCTCTAAATTGGAATACCTTTCCGGTATTTTTGAACATGCATGCTCAATAGTGCTCCCTCCACCTTGCTATGTTGTCACTGCTTCGGAGGAAAGTGGTGGGGGTGTGTAGGGGTGGGGATGAAGGAGGGCAACAAGTAAGTAAAAGAACATAATTGGTCCCTTTATTTTTCAGGCTAGGAATTTTACTTAGGTATTATGGGTATTTTCAGGCTAGGAATTTTACTTAGGTATTATGGGCTTTCGCTGTATTAATTGGAATTGTAGTTTCTACTTCTAAACATACCAAAAATAGGTTATTCAAGCAATTTTTTAATCACAGTACAGACGCGGATACTCATATATGCATGCACACTCATCTCTACCAATAAATGCATACACACCCTACCCTATGAGCACTTCCAGACAAACCTCAAAATTGATGAAGGCGCCGCACGCGCCTCGTTTTTGATGGACACATCAAAATAAGAGCACTCGTATAAAGTCGAAGAACCCAGCAAGATGAGCCACTCTTATTTCGTGGCTACCAAAACAATATGATTTGATTCAATCCAATTCTAGAGAACCCATTTTGCTTTATTTTACGATGTAGCTAATTATATTGTGGAATGGTGACTTTTCTGATGGTATCAAAATAATTTGAAATATGTAGCATTTTTCAGTACCACAAGATTGCAGTCGACACCTGTGTGTCCTGACGAATAAACTAGTGGTTGAAGCTGTCCAAAACGACATACCCATGCCTTTGCCCTTTGGCGGTGCCCATCAAGAAGGGGGTAAATCTTGGTCCGCAAAAAAATAATGACAAAAAAAACTGGTTTTGGTTCCATTCAAGAATGCGACAAGAAAATAAAATCGCAGTCAACCTAGGCTAACCCTGTTTCAGTTCCCACTGTCATCACCTCTCCCTTCTCCTCTCCTTTTCTGATCCCTATATAAACCAACCCCCAAACTGGAAATTTCATTCTTCATTACTCATTCGCAGCTACCACAAGTTTGAAACTCCAATCACCAACCTTGCCTGATTGTTTGAAATCTTGAGCAACTGCTCCGTCCTGGCAAGTATAGAATAGGATTCTTGCACCACAAACCACATCATCGGAACAAGACATGGCTAGGAGCAGAGAGGTGACGGGCTGGGGGAGGATGGCTGGAGGCGATGGTGCGGCGGCGGCGGCGGCGGCCGTGGAGAAGGCGGTGAGGTGCCTCGGCAGGGGCGTCGACATGACGGGCGACCTGAGGCTGAAGCACTGCAAGGATGCGGGGGGCTGCCTGGTCCTGAGGACCGGCGAGAAGGCGGCGACGGCGGAGAAGGTCGTCGTGCCGGGCTTCGGAGTCGTCGCCGATGTGCCCGCCGACGTCAAGTGCGGCAAGGGCGACCGGATCAGGTTCAAGTCCGAGGTGCTCGAGTTCAACAAGGTTTGTTGTTGATCTGATAGCACCTTCATTTTGTTTTTTTTAAGAATATTTGAAGATAAACTTTTTTTGGTAATAAATTGGGAAAGTTGGTGCCAAATGAGTCAAATTTCAATCAATGTTGCGTATTCATGAACTAAAAAATTTGCTCAAGTGTGGAAAATGACATGTCATTATTTCTTCTTTCTGCTGTCAAGTTTCTTTCATTCTGGAGGAAAAAAATGTCAGGTAGAAAAACAGCACCTGGTACCATGATTATTATTATTACACGAAAGTGACGTAATTTATTTCCATCTTTCATTCAACTTCTCTTTAGAAAAAAGTCGTCAAAACGTAAATTTCTGATCAAAATAACGAGGGCAGCATGACTGGGTACTTCGTCTTGACGACCATTGCAATGTTGACCTGCTGCAGATGTCTGAGGTGTTCAACCACCGGAATTCGCTGACGGGGAAGATCCCGTCGGGGCTCTTCAACTCGTGCTTCGACCTGGAGTGCAGCTCCTGGGCCGAGGACGCCTCCGCCACCAAGTGCCTCGCCTTCGACGGCTACTTCATCTCCCTCCTCGACCTCTACCTCGACTGCCGCCCGCTCGCCCTTGCCGACCACGTCGTCCGTGACGTGCCGGCGGCATGGGACCCGTCAACCATAGCAAGGTACGGACTAGCGATCATAAGCACCACCCAATTCGGTCTTCTTCTCTCATTTCCTTACCACCCTGGGCGTAGATTTCTTCCTTCCTTCGGAAACTGATGACATGGTTACCTATTCAAGGGTTTGACATTACTTTTCAGAAAAAAAACATGCATTAAAAGTAAGAAAGTCATATTGTTACAGTGAAATGAGGGTGGGCCAATTAATATGAACTCAGTACAAATCCAAGTACCACTACATGTACCATGTCTAATAGAGGTGAAGTTGCGAAAATTTGAGGTGATCAAGTGCAGTGCTATGCTTGACTTGACTTAACCTCATCTTGTGACCAAGTAATAATGGCTTTGTCCTTTCCAAGAGTGCAAAATCGTCCACCACACGTTTGCCATGCGGTGTGAAAAATCGTATGCATGCATAGTGGAAAAAAGGACCAGACCAGGCAGGAAGCAGCAGCCGGCAAATTGAAGGGTGCATAGAAATTAAGCTACCTGCCTGCAGGACTTAGACTTGTTCAAACCTTCCAGGTCCTCAACAGATGGAGTATATATATCTCCTCTCCTGTCTGCACATCAGCATGAATCAACTCTAAGGTGTCACATCAATGTGTAGGACTATAAACAAGAAGCAAACAAGAAAGTATATTTCTATCAAAATTTAAGAAAATGTATATTCATTCTCCTAAACATTAAGTAGATAAGCTTTTACATTACCTACTGGACCAGTTCTCTGAACATGTCACAATTGAGGCACTGACTAAACAAAAACAACACAAGCCAGATGATTTTCCATGCCCGAATGCAGTTTCCATTTCCTGAACCAATGGACGCACAATCCATTGAAGACTAATTTCACTCTTTCTGAAAATTGTGAGCAGTTTCATCGAGAAGTATGGGACCCACATCATTGTTGGGCTGGGTTTGGGTGGCCAGGATGTGGTGTATGTGAAGCAGGACAACTCGTCTCCACTGTCCCCATCTGAGATCAAGGAGCACTTGGACAGGCTAGGTGACCAGCTCTTCACTGGGACATGCACTCTGCCCCCTTCAAACCGCAAAAGCAGGGACCACAAATTTAAGGTTAGCAAATCATGCATGTTAGTCGTTTATGTCCAGATCAGACTTAGATTAGGGATCGGAATCAACAACATCCATCCACCACAATATGATATATCATGAACATGAACTGAAATGTGCTGGAACTCCTATTACTTGGATGGCAACAGGTCCCTGAGGCCTTCAATGTATTTGATGCCAAAGTGACACAGCAAAGGCTTCAAGGAATGATTACTCCAGTGTCCTGCAAAGAGGTATTTGGTTCAGAATTTTGGCATATTAACAGCAGCGAGTAAGGAGATAGGAGATATAGAGGCCAGGAATTTCTAATAAATTTGGACTGAACTGATGCAGGGTGTGACGGTGATATACTCCAAGAGGGGAGGGAATGCAGCAGCGAGCGATCACTCAGAGTGGCTGCTCACTGTGCCCACAATGCCGGACGCAATAAACTTCAAGCTTGTGCCTATCACATCCCTTCTCAAGGGAGTAACTGGCGTGGGCTTCCTCTCTCATGCCATCAACCTATATCTCAGATGTAAGTAAGGTCTTTCTCTCACACATAAACCAAATCCATCAGCTAAGTGCATAGAAACTTCAAAGTTGAAGAAAGCGCAATCAGTGAAATGAATCATAAGCTATATATACCTCAACAAAAGTAGGAGCAATTCAGCAAGAACTATATTGCCTATTTGCCTTGTTATAATGATTAATTGTGCTTAGTTTTGTTTCTTTATCCATCCATGCTATGTTGCAAACACTAAAAAGTTTATCATCATGCTTCTGTCCCATAACAGACAAACCTCCAATAGAAGATTTGAGGTACTTCCTAGACTTCCAGCACCACAGATTGTGGGCTCCAGTACTCAGTGACCTACCACTTGGTCCCTGCTCAAACCGACAAGGTGCCAGTCCGGCCTTGAACTTCAGCCTTGTAGGTTCAAAGCTATATGTCAGCTCAAGCGAGGTAAAATATGCTTGCTCATTACTTTCGAAAACATCTGAAATCTCATAAATTAGAAATGTTCACATTAACCATGTGGAAAACAGGTGATTGTTCCAAGATTACCAGTCACCGGGATGAGATTACACCTGGAGGGCAAGAAAAATAACCGGTAAGCAGAACTTACTTATGCCAGTCCTGTTCTTATGGTTTTCTCTGAATCCTGGCTGAACACACTGCATAAAACTAACTTGGGACCCTTCGTTTCCGATATCTTATCATCAGCTTAGGCATCCACCTGCAACATTTGTCAAACAACCCAACGTTCATCAACGAAAGATCAGCCAAGCAGCCGATATGGCGCGGATCGGAGATGATCTCCGACGAGCGATACTATGAGCCGGTCCAGTGGAGAATGTTTGCCCATGTCTGCACAGTGCCGGTGAAGTACGACCCTCGCTGGGCCAGCGCCGGCTCGCCGTCAGCCTACATCGTCTCCGGCGCCCAGCTGCACGTCAAGGCTCACGACTCCACCAATATCCTGCACCTCAGGCTCTTGTACACCCAGCTGCCGGGGCACGCCGTGGTGCAGTCCAAATGGGCGCACAACACGGCGAGGCTGTCGGGCAAAGGGAGCTTCCTGTCCAAGTCGTTCGCAGCGTCCTTAGGCGCCGGCGTTGACAAGGAGCAGCAGCACCCGGCGAGGATTCACATTGACTCCGCTGTGTTCGCCGGAGGCCCACCCATGCCTGTCGGGACCCAGAGGCTGCTCAAGTTTGTTGAGACGTCTCAGGTGACCATGGGCCCACAGGACAGTCCTGGATACTGGCTGGTCACTGGTGCCAAGCTGGATGTTGAAAAGGGGAAGATCTCACTTCACGTCAAGTTCTCCCTGCTTGCTCCAGTTTCTTGACACGCTGTCTTCTTTTGCTAGGAGAAAACAGCTGTAGAATCAAACCTGACTCCCTTGTCCAAAATTTACCCTTTCAAAGAAAATGTATAACAAGGAACCAGATCTGCAGAAGGCCAAAATTAGGGGACTCCTTGCGCAGTGATGGTAATATTAGTGATTGTATCAAATCATAACTTACCTAGATAGTTAAGCTTGCTCCATGGTCTCTGTTTCCCAGGAATTGTCATGACCCAAAAGGTCCCTTGAGCTAAAAATACTTGTCATATTTGATTTTATACTGCCTTCCATACACATTTTTGCTACTAGTTTCGTGTAGAATATATTCTTAAAATACTTCAAATTTATAAGACTTTGCAAGTATTTTTTTCATATAATTCTACACATTTTCAAACTAAATAACTTATATCACAAATCCCAAAACATTAAAACCCTAATAACAGCTCGATTACTGGGCTATGTGTTTCTTACTGAGCAGAAGTAGCAAGTTCTGTTTCAATACTCTATATGAACTCGACATATTGCTCTTAAAAATTTAATAAAAGACTCTCCTTATTAAAAAAAATGAACAGCTCGCTTGAGAGGAACCATTGTAGTAGACGGGATAGGGCATCGGAGTATAAAATCAAGTATGATGTACCAGCTAAAAGGCAGCTTGTAGATGCAGGTCGAGATATTGAAATGAATTTCTACATTGTCTTTTGCTCCATTATTTGTGAACATTCAGTTTTCTTTGTGGAAGATCCACTACAGGGATCTAACTTGCTATGATACTTTAAATTGACTGCAGACTGTCCATTCAGTTAGATCTGGATGGCTATGATCACCTATTACCTCATATAGAAGGTAATAAGGTAAAAATATATTTATACAACTTTTAATTAGAAAATAGGATTAATAGAATAAAAAACCATCAGTTGGGTCTGACTACCTTTCATGATGTACCATTGCATGCATACATTGTGATAAATTAAACTCACACTTTTCCATAGCTTGCAGTGATGTATATTTAATGTGGCAGGTGACAATTTCAATGAAATGTAATTATTTAGTAAATAATATGCCAATACAAATGAAAATTCAGCAAAGTGCAACAGTTGCATATCAGATACTTCAATTTTTCCAAGAGGTTACGTTGGCACGCTTGTCATCGACAAAAACAATATGCATCTAACAGTTATCATGGAATGTATGTATCACTTGTCATTGACAAAAAAAAATGTACAACAGAATTATTCTGGTGAAGCATACTGGAACCACATCCATGTGACTGAAAACCATTCTATATCAACATTCAGCAGCCATCAGATATGGCTGTATTGTTTTGTTATTTTGATAGAGCAAATACCACAAAATTTGACTGGTACGGTTGAATTATTTAGCATAATATGCCAATACAAATGAAAATTCAGCAAAGTGCAACAGTTGCATATCAGATACTTGAATGTTCCAAGAGGTTGGCTCGCTTGGACAGCAGGATTATTGAAAAAATCCTTCAGTGCTAGCAGCAGAAATACCATACATATGCATTTCAGGTGCCCACAGTTTGCTTAGTCAGGGCAAGGTGTAGGGGCCTCCAAAAAAAGGTTCTTTAGCAATAAGTAACACCTACCTCTTCTCAACGGCAGACCTGAGAAGTTCAGTCATGGGAAATGGGCAGTTTGCCACGAGGTGCTTGTAACCCTCGGTTGCCAAAACAGCCTCAAGATTTGCAGGAGAATCAACAATGAATTTGATGCATCTGGTCTTTAGCCTGCAGCAGCTGTGCTGCTCTGCGAGAGCCAAATTCGTGGCAACCATGCCCACGTTGATGCCACTGCAAAGCTTGTCTTCACACATGAGCTTAAGCCTGTCCAGTCCAAACCTATCGGCAGCTGAAAGAAGATGCTGTGCAATGGCCATCGACTCTTGACGCCCAATGTCGCTGCCATGCTGTTGAGCGAGCTCGGGGCATGTGTCGGTGTAGGTGAAATGGAGCATAGCCTTGAAGGCTGCTGGTTCGATGCCCTTGATATCGACGACACCCGAGCTGCTCTCTTTCATGGGCGGCCCAAAGAATTCGTCCATGAAGATGGGAGATCTAGCAGCGAGTATGATCTTTTGTGCCATGAAAGATTCACCTGAAACGAAGATTGTGTTGTCAGCCCCCTTATGGCTTTGCAGTAGTTCACCAAGCTGTTGGTGCAAATCGGTGGACGGCAATCCAGCACTGGGGTGAACATTAGCTCCTGCTCCCTGCGGGCTTCTCCAAACACTGATTGCGCATTCCACAGCCAAGGAATCATTTTTTAGATAACCCAATTTTAGTAGTTCCTCATGTGTTAGAAGCAAAATTGGTGGTCCTAACTCCTCTTGCTTCGTGTATCTGTAGGTGGCACGCTGATCTCCAAATGGTGGGAGAATTCCGGTCACATCAACTAACTGACCCCATTCTCACACTTTGCTACGTAGCCCAAGCCGAAATGCTATCCACTCTTTGCTCAAATCAGGATGAAATGGATGGTAACGGACTTCCCAGTCATATCCAGCCGCGTCAAATGTCCCATAGGAGATATACTCTGATTTATACAATGTCATGGTCGGGCGCACGTATTCCAGGCGCCGCCGGGCTCGTGACGTGCGCCGCGACGCGGAGCGCGCAGAACGCGCGGGAGGCGCGCACGAGGACGCGCTGGGCGCGATCACCGACAGTGGCTGAGAGGAAAATTAGAAATAGCTTTCTATTATTAGTTCCTAAATTAAAGGAGCATGTTGCTCCGGTTGGTTGAGGCCAAGGGCCATATATATATATATATATCCTGTAACAGACGTGTGAAGATAAGGAAGAATATTACCAATCTAATCTCCCTCCTCTCTTCAACCAAGCCTGCGGCAGAGGGTTAACCTCGCCGGAGAAGACGGACCGAGGCTACGAGCTACGTAGCCGAGGTCCAGCTACCCGAGGGTTCAACGCCCTTGACAACCTGGTATCACGATCCCGGCGATCCTCGCCTTCCCGATCCACCTCACCACCAGCCGCCACCATCCCACCACCTCCTACAGCCGCCGCACCGTCATCATCCGCTTCGTCGTGTCCAACCGACATGGGTGACGTTAATGACCTCAAGGACACCGTGGAGTCCCTCACCAACGCCATGAAGACGCTCAGGCCACGGTCAAGGCCAATGCCAAGGCCATCGCCTCCCTCACCTCTGACCACACGTCCTCCTCGGGCTCCAAGCCGGGCTCCGGCGAGCACCACAATGATCGGCCGCCAAAATTCCAAAAGATGGATTTTCCCCGGTACGATGGCAAGACCGATCCACTCATCTTCATCAATCGCTGCGAGTCCTACTTCCACCAGCAACGGATCATGGAGGAAGAGAAGGTCTGGATGGCCTCCTACAACCTTGAGGACGGGGCGTAGATGTGGTATATTCAGGTCCAAATGGACGAGGGCACTCCATCGTGGCGCCGGTTCAAGGAACTACTCAATCTGCGCTACGGCCCCCTCTCCGCGCTGCTCCCCTCTTCGAACTGGCGGATTGCCGTCGCACGAGCACTATCGCGGAGTATCAGGATCGCTTCCAGGCGCTTCTTCCCCGCGCCGGTCCCCTGGAAGAGGCGCAAAGGGTGCAGTTGTTCACGGGCGGGCTCCTTCCACCGCTCAGCCTCGAAGTTCAGGTTCACAATCCGCAATCCCTTGCGGCTGCCATGAGCCTGGCGCGCCAGTTGGAGCTCCGGGAGCAGTAAGCGCCGGCACCCGCCAAGGCCGCGCCCCGTGGCCTGCTACAGGCCCCTGCGCCGCGCCTAGCCCTCCCCGCGCCCACGATCGCCAAGGCGGACGCGCCTATGGCCGCGGTGGATGGTCGGCCGCTGGTCAAGCGCCTGTCCCTGCCAGAGTAGGAGGAGCGCCGGCGACAGGGCCTCTGCTTCAACTGCAACGAGCGGTACACGCGCGGGCACAACCGCGTCTGCAAGCGGATCTTCTTCATCAACGGCGTCGACATCGCCATTGCCGAGGACGCCGCGGCCGAGGACGCGCCGAACGCGGAGGCCCCGGTTTTCTCCTTGCACGCGGTTGCTGGGGTCCCCATCTATAACACCATCCAGCTCCAGGTGCTCCTGGCCGCCGCCTCCTTCATCGCGCTCATCGACACCGGCTCCACCCACAGTTTCATCGGGAGGCGCGCGCGCGCGCGGCTCGCCCATCGAGCGCGCCGCGGCGCGGCGGCGGCAAGCGGCAAGCGGCGCGCGTCTCCTTCCTCGGCGTGATCCGCCAAGCCCCGATCCTCATCGACGGCATGGAGTTCCGCGTCGACCTCTTCGTGATGCCCCTAGCTAGATACGACGTGGTCCTCGGCACGCACTGGATGGCCACGTTGGGGCCCCTTGTCTGGGACCTCATTGCTCGGACCATGGCGTTCCAGCGAGAGGGGCGCACCGTCTATTGGCGTGGCGTGGCACCACCAACGGCGCCGGCCTCTATGCCGCCACGACCGATGACTCCCTCCTCGAGGGGCTACTCGGCTCCTGCGATGACGACGTCTTCGCCGAGGCGAAGGGGCTGCCTCCAGCGCGTGCCCGTGATCACCACATCGTCCTCAAGCCCGACGCGGCCTCGGTGGTTGTGCGGCCGTACAGGTACCCTGTGGCCCACAAAGATGAACTGGAGCGGCAGTGCACCGCCATGATCGAGCAGGGAATCGTTCGCCGTAGCTCGGCGTTCTCCTCCCCGTCCTCCTCATCAAGAAGCCAGACGGGTCGTGGTGGTTCTGCGTCGACTACCGCACGTTGAATGCGCTCACTGTGAAGGACGCGTTTCCCATTCTGATCGTCGACGAGCTGCTCGACGAGCTCCATGGCGCACAGTTCTTCTCCAAGCTGGACTTGCGCTCCGGGTACCATCAGGTGTGCATGCGGCCGGAGGACATCCACAAGACGGCGTTCCGCACCCACGACAGCCTCTACGAGTTCTTGGTCATGCCGTTCGGGCTATGCAACGCCCCGACAACGTTCCAGGC